AGATATGGGCTTAAGGCTGATCCTTGATGTAACCCAACCGAAATAGGGAAATACTTGGTCAATCCACCTTGTGTTTGAACACAAGTAATAGCTCTTAGAGACAAGATATGAAAAGAACTTATATGTGAAAGGTTGGAGTAGCTCCGATGAAAGATAAGATTAGAGAGAGTCGTCTTAGATGGTTTGGTCACATAAAACGGCGGCCTTGTGATGACCCGGTTAGGAGAGTAGAGGTATTAGATTTGACTTATGTTAAGAAAGGTAGGGGTATACCTAAAAAGATTTGGTTAGAAAATATTAGGAATGACCTTTCTTTATTAGGTTTAAATGAGAATTTGACTTTTAATATGACACAATGGAGAAAAAGGATTCATGTTGCCGACCCCACGTAGTGGGATAAAGGTTTGATGTTGTTGTTGTTGTTGTTGTTGATATTCTTCTTGTTGATAAGACTAGAGAGGGAGTTGAAGGTAAACTTGAATTATGGAGGTCAACCTTAGAGTCTAAAGGTTTTCGCTTGAGTAGATCTAAAACGGAATATATGTAGTGTAATTTTAGTAGTAATAGACCTAGTGAGGGGATTGTGACTTTGGGCGATCAAGTCATTAATAAGAGTACACGTTTTAGATATCTTGGACCTATTGTTCAGAGTGATGGTGAAATAGATGGGGATATTATCAGCAAAATTTAAGTTGGATGGTTGAAGTGGAGGAATGCATCGGGCTTGTTATGTGATAGAAATATACCCCTCAAACTTAAGGGAAAATTCTTTAAGATGGTAGTGAGGCCTGCATTGCTTTATGGTGCCGAATGTTGGCCATTAAAAGAGAAGCATGATACTTAGTTAAGTGTGGCAGAGATGAGGATGCTCAAGTGGATGAGTGGCTTTACCCTTAGAGATAAGATACGAAATGAGCATATACGTGAAAAGGTTGGAGTAGTTCCAGTAGAAGATAAGATTAGAGAGGGTCGCCTTAGATGGTTTGGTCACATAAAACAGCGGCCTTCCGATGATCCGGTTAGGAGAGTAGAGGTATTAGATTTGACTTATGTTAAGAAAGGTAGGAGTAGACCTAAAAAGACTTGGTTATAAAATATTAGGAATGACATTTCTCTATTAGATTTAAACGAGAGTTTGACTTTTAATAGGACACAATGGAGAAAAAAGATTCATATAGCCGACCCCACGTAGTGGGATAAAGGCTTGATGTTGTTGTTGTTGTTGTTGTAGGAGTTCATCTCAAAAGGATATCTACTTTTTCTTATTTCAACTTAATAAAGATTCAGATAATACACAGATGGTGATATAAGACGGCAAACTAATTGTCTAGATACATCCAAATCCATCCATTTTTGCTGTGAATTTCAAAGACATGATAGTGTTAACAATCTTAAGATAATTAGCAAAAGAAAAAAATAGAATACCCTTAGATCTTTTCCAAGAAAAGGGCCTAGATGGTCACTTAGGCATGATGGAGATCCTAGCACGGTGTATATTTGCAAGATAAATATCAGCATAATGTCTTCAACTAAAGCAAACGGACATTAAGAAGCCTAACCATGTATAAAGAATACGCTCCAATGACTTCTGAACTTGTTCATTCTGGAAGAAGGTTACATCAGGTACAGTTCTTGGGCAATCAACAGCAATCTTATCAACAACAAAAAAGAAGAATTCCTTAATGTAAACAGACTTAGGCTTCGTTTGGGACGGCTTTCTTACTACTTTTAAAAAAAAAAATTTAGTATAAAAATTTTAATTTTTATACTAGAAAGCTACTACAAGAAGTAGTGCAAAAGCTGTAGGCTTCGTTTGGGACGGCTATCTTACTGCTTCATGAAGTAGCTTTTTAGTACAAAATTTTTAATTTTTGAACTAGAAAGCTGTTTTAAGAAATGGTAAGAAAGCCGTCCCAAACGAAGCCTTAGGAAACGAGTAAGGCATGATGACTGGCCAAAAGAGAGAAAAACCTGGCGCAGCATGGTGATTTCATCATCTGAACGTTCTGTATCAGGAATGTCATAAAACTGAGCAACAGAGTCAAGGTATTCCAGTCGTTTCCTTGACAAAACTCCCTGGCGTCTATCTGAATTAGGTGGTGCATATCCCTGTTGTCAGCTAATATTTGAATTTCAAGCATGAGGCATAAGATTTATGATAAAGAAAGTGTAACAGCAAAGTGATGTCATTCCATATTGGCAGTTGCTGCAGGGCTATCTAATCTTACCGTTATGCCAAAGTGAAAAATACACCAAAAAATGAAATAAAGCAATTGTTGTTCAATAGTTTCTCTGCAGGGTTCAACAGAAGTTCTTATAAGCAGGAAATAATCATGCGAGCACAATGTAACTTTAAGAATATAATAAGTTAACAGCATCTATGTATCCCATCTTCTCATGTGCATAACGAAATGAATTTTGAAGGTATACATACCAAGAGAGAATCACTTGTTCAAGCAGTTCCCAAGACAACAAATGACTAGAAAAAGAAGCTTTCAGAGTTTCTGCAGGACACCAGGACATTCAAATTGACCAACTCCCATAATTAATGGAAAGATACGTTGCAAGGCTGCCATACTCACATTCCCCATGTATTGACAAGTTTGCCATAGGTTTTACATTTAAATTTCAGAAAAAAAAAAATTGTTAAAAAGTGTAACTCGTACTCAAATGACAAGAATACAAGCCACGATCAATTTCCCTATCAGCTATCACTTTCTAGGTCAATTTCAAACCTTTTCAGTCTTTAAATCATGCCTTCAAGATTGTTCACATTTAATGGAGCAACAAAATGACTTAGGCATGTCAGTCCATTTTACTTTACCAGACCCAATAAAAATAACGTTATGCAATAGATGTTTTGAAACTCAAGGTTTAGGTGAAAATCGATAAAATAATAGACTGTTGAGCATCAGGTTCAAAGATGTCATAAGCTCTTGACTGCATGATAGCGTGCAAATCTTTTTCAAATCTGGGAAACTAATGGCATTGACTGTATTAAACTTCTACTATGTTTAATTATACTACAAATTAGAAATTATAGGTAAGAAAATGATAAACCATAAAAACTTTCACTTCTGAATGGAGATTTTAAATGTTCATGATTTCTATTGGATAATTTTCAATTTAAGAATAAGCACCAAAGGAATACGTCTTACAGTAGATAAAAAATTATAGCAAAGATTTTGCAAATTTGAGCTGGGAACAATACTTAATGTTTAAAACACTTTGGAAGAACTCCAAATCTAATGCCCACAAGGCCTCTCGCAGGTCCAGCAATTGACAAGAGCTCACAGAACTAAGCATTTGTGGAGCTCACTCGTGTAAGGCTCAATAAGAGCTTATGAGGGTAGGGATTAACTGGAGCTTGTAGGGGCCTTAGGGTTTCGTCGCTCTCCTTGGTCTTCTACCCTTGTATTCTTCCTTTGCATGACTAGGTAAGCCGACCGAGCGCACGAATGAAGCTCAAAATCTCCTCTTCTTCTCATCTTCTTCGAGTCTTCATCATTTCTGTGATGAGGCGGGATGAACCGAGAAGGCTACTGGGCTATTTTAAGCCCAATAAGTCCGACTAGAGCCATTCACTCGTCATTCCCTTTACTCATTCGGTTTCTCATTGGTTCTGCTTCACCTTTTTTGCAGTCACCGAGGACATCGAAGGTTACGACTCTTGTGTTTGCTCCGTTGAAGCCAGAGGAGGGAGACTGAGGCAGATACATTCGATTAGAGTATAGATTATCAGCTTCTTTATTTCCGCAAGTGAGTAAATTATACTTACCAATTTATTTGTTGTTTAAGTTTTTTTTTTCCATATATTCTTGTTAGCCTTTTGATAGGAAATAATTGAGTTCATAAGTAATCCAAGAGGAAATACTTGAGTTCGAAAGCAACCCTAGAAATAATTGATAAAAAGCAGCAGAAACAATGCGATAATCTTGATGAAATCAATCCAAAACAATATATTGTAATAGTGGATTCAAAGCAAAAGCAAAAACAAAGCAAGATACAATTGATCCTCAATTCGAGAGGAGGATTGTCCTCTCCCAATCTCTAGATGATGAGTCTAGAGTCCAAGACGCCAAAGAAACTTCAAGAGAACAAAAGAAACAAATCAAAGCATAACCCCCTAACCCTAAAACACTTCATGTTATTTAATACATAAACCTTCTAAATCAAATCTCCCTCCAAAACCCTAGCCTCCCCCTCCTTTCTTATTTTGGATTCAATTAGAATGGTGGGACCCACTATTGTGGGTGACAAAGGAAGAGGAGGCGGTAGTAGCCCACCTCTTATAGACCAAAACCAGCCCATCCAGGGCCAGTTCAGGATTTGGGGAGGATTATGCCGGTTCAGGAGGAGCCGGCCTAATAATATCACCCTCCCAAAGAATCACCTTGTCCTCAATGTGAAAACCAGAAAACTGATGTTTCACCCTCTCGTATGGCTCCCACGTAGCATCGTAGTCAGGAAGAGATTCTTCCACTTAATCAGCACTTCCTTAGTTCCATCTTCTTTCTAGAGAACCACCATCAACTCTAAGGATTTCAGAATCACCTCTAAATACTCAGTAAGTGTCGTTGGTAACTCCGAGCTAGCTGTAAAATCTCTAATGACCCTTCTTAACTGAGATACATGAAAAACCAGATCTATAGTCGCCATTGGTGATAGTTTCAACCAATATGGTATCGCTCCAATCTTCTTCAATACTTCATAAAGTCCAAAGTACCTTAGAGCAAGCTTCTCATTCCTCCTATTGGCGATTGTCTTTTGTCTATATGATCAGAGCTTCAAGAACACCCTCTGCCCTACTTCAAACTGGATGTCCTTCATATGCCCATCTGCTTGTTTCTTCATAATCTGTTGAGCTCTCAGTAGATGTCTCTTCAACTCCTCTAGCACTCTATTCCTCTCCTACAAGTACTCGTACACTGAAGAAACTAGAGTACTGCTACTCTCAAAGTGTACCAAGTGAGGAGTATCCATTTCGTACACACCTTGAATGGGCTCATCTGATAAGCAGAATGATAAGAGGTGTTGTACCAATACTCAGCCCACCATAGCCACTTGGCCCATAGCCTGGGTGTCTCCGACACAAAGCATCTTAGGTAGGTCTCCAAGCTCTTGTTGACCACTTCTATTTGGCCATCCATATGTGGGTGGTAAACGGTGCTCCTATTCAAAACTGTCCCATGTAATTTGAACAACTTCCAAAAAAAAAAATGACTGAGGAACACCTTATCTCTATCTGATACAATCGCCTCTGGTACTCAATGTAATCTGACCACCTCTCTGAAGAAAGCTGAAGTCACTGTCACCGCGGTGTATGGATGTCGGAGGGGAATGAAATAAGCATACTTGTTCAATCTATCCACCACCACCAGAATCACTGTGAAGCCTTTTGAATGGGGCAGCCCGTCTATGAAGTCCATGGATATCTTCTCCCATACTCGACTCGGTAAAGCCAACGACTGTAGTAGTCCTCCTGGCGACATAGCCAGGTATTTGTTCCTCTGACAGACCTCACATCTGACAACCATCTCCTCCACATCTCTATGCATCCTCTTCCAGTACAGCTCTGAGGCTAGCCACATGTGTGTCTTCTACACCCCTGAATGACCCCCAACAGCGCTCCATAAAACTCTTGGAGTATGAAAATTGGATTGAGGTCCAGGGCATCACAAATCTCCCCTGATACAACAGTCTGTCCCCCTTCAATGAGTAACTTGGATGGCTACCCCCTTCCCTCAGTAAATTTATCCTGATCGTTTCCAACTCCTTATCCCTAGTACTCTCCTCCTTGATGGTCTCCAAATCTAGCATCAAAGGAATCGATAATGCCATTATCTGCATCTCCCCCATACATCTGGACAATGCATTTGCTGCCATGTTCTCCACTCCTGGCCTCTATTGGATTTCAAGATCATACCCAAACAATTTGGAAAACCCCCTCTGATGCTCCCCAGTCACTATCCGTTGCTCCCATAAGTACTTCAGGCACCTCTGGTTAGTTCTGACAATGAAATGCCTACCTAATAGGTAGGGTCGCTACTTCTGGATAGCTAAAATGATGGTCATCAACTCCCTCTCATAGACTAATTTCAGCCTGACTCTGGCTGTCAACACCTAGCTGAAGTAGGCAATGGGTCGACGTATCTACATAAGTACTGCCCCCAAGCCATATCCTGAAGCATCTGTCTCCACTATGAAGGCCTGAGTGAAGTCTGGTAAAGCTAAGACTAGTACAGTAGTCATAGCCTTCTTCAGTCTCTCAAATGTTGTTGTGGCCTCCTCCCCCCATAAGAATCATCGTTCTGCAGCTTCTCTGTCAGTGGCCATGCTATAATGTTGTACCCTTTTACAAACCTCCTGTAGTATCCCGTTAGTCCTAAGAATCCTCTCAGCTCCTTCAAATTTTTAGGTAAGGGTCACCTCAACATAACTTTAATCTTTGATTGATCAGTTGTCACCCCTTCTTTGGATACAATATGACCCAAATACTCCACACTAGTCTGGGCGAAACAGTTCTTCTTCAGGTGAACTCTAAGCTCATGCTCCTGCAACAACTCCAACACCCTCCTCAAATGATCCCAGTGCTCCTCATCAATTCTACTGTAAATTAGGATATTGTCAAAGAATACCAAGACAAACCTCCAGAGGTAAGTTTTGAAAACCTTGTTCATGAGTGACTGGAAAGTGGCTGGAGCGTTGGTGAGACCAAAAGGCATCACCAGGAACACGTAGTGCCCCTCATGAGTTCTGAAAGCTATCTTTGGTACATCTTCCGCCTTCATCCTGATTTGATGATATCCTGACTTCAGATCAATCTTCGAGAAAATCACCGCTCCAATCAACTCATCCAACAACTCATCAATCACTGGTATAGGAAACTTGTCTAGCACAATTTTCCTTGTCGATTACTCTATAGTCCACACAAAACCTCCAACTCCCATTCTTTTTCTTCACCAGTAAGAATGAACAAGAGAAAGGGCTCACACTGAATTTGATAATTCCCGCCTCCAGCATTTCTCTAATCAACTTATCAATCTCATCCTTCTAAAATTAAGGATATCGGTAAGGCCTGACACTGATGGGTGACACACCTTCCCTCA